TCTTAGAAAGTTGTCCATTTCATCTAAAATTTTGGATTTATTGATATGTTGTATATCACAATACCGTTTAAAGTGTTCTTTTGCATAACTAGTTTTAAATATATATAGTCTCATATAATACACACACCTCTGCATACATACATATATGTGTGTGTATATACATATATAGAGAGAGAGTGTCTCTTTTGCAACTACTCAACTTTGATGCTGGGAAAGCAGTCATAGACAATATGTAAAAAAAATGAACATGGCTGTGTTGCAATAAACCTTTATTTATGGACCCTGATTTTTTTAATTTCGTGTAATTTTCATGTATCATAAAATATTTTTCTTTGGATTATTTTCAACCATTTGAAAATATAAAATCCGTTTTTAGTTTGCAGGCCGTACAAAAATAGATGGTGAAGTGGATTTGCCAACTCCTGTTCTACCTGATTTTCCTATTTCAGAAAACCGTACTAAAGCCTTCTCTGTGATTGTGGATTCATTTGTTTCTCCATTTATTTATTTATTTAATAATTTTATTTATTTATTTATTTTCCCCCAAAGCCCCAGTAGATGGTTGTATGTCATAGCTGCACATCCTTCTAGTTGCTGTATGTGGGACATGGCCTCAGCATGGCCAGAGAAGCGGTGCGTTGGTGCGCGCCCGGGATCCGAACCCCGGGCCGCCAGCAGCGGAGCACGTGCACTTAACCGCTAAGCCACGGGGCCGGCCCTCTCCATGTATTTTTAATAGTTTTTCTTCATATGAGGTATACAATTAAATGTGTAAACATTTGTGATTATTTTATCTTCTTGGTGAATTTTACCTTTTATCAATGTAAAACTTGCTCATTTTCATTTAATGCTTTTTCTTTTAGCCTAAATTTTGTGATATTCAAGAATGATACTGCCACTCTTGCTTCTATTTTGTTCATACTAGCCAGCACTGTGCAAGAACATAGATTGCAAAGCACAGTAACTCCTGATCCACAATAAAACAAAAGAAAACATTAGCTTTTATGTTGGGCTTGGTTTTCAGTAACTTTTAGTGTGAAAGTTTTAAGGCAATTGCACGTGGCTACCTTCCTTTGTCCGCATATGTTAATGTTCTAAAGCTAAGATAGTGCTGTCTAGAACTGTAAAGTGTGCATTTATGGGTACTCAAGTTTCCTATTATGTTACTGTCAGAGGGAAAAGGCTTTCTCACCCCGCCCCAGCTGCTTTTGGGTACAATGCTGGAACCTAATAGATGATTGATACTAGTACGATTTTGTAAGTTCTCCTCAGCCTACCAGGTATGTAATTAAGAGAAGACAATTTTTGTTTTATAAATAAAGGGGAGGAAACCTTTAAAATTTGCTGACACGTTAAATTGGTGGTTTTTGAAGGAAAAAAACCTCTGAGATTGTAATGTGGAAATGTGAGGAAGAACCAGTTTGGACATAATCTAATTCTCTTCTCACTCTTCAACTCTTGTGTTAGAACTTACAAAAGATAAGTAGGTTCAGGGTAGATAACTGATTTTTTTCCACATGTAGTACAAAACAGTCCAATGTTGTTTCTGTCAGAGTCTCTCTTAGCCTTGTCAAGACTGGAGCCTGAACTGCTATAAATTATAATAGAAACAAATTTTCATTAATTGTTCCTTTTCTATATATCTTTAGTAGTGTCGCATTGCTTATCTTGTTTGCAAATCGTAAAGGTTCAGTGGCTGTCTTGCTTTTTAAGACTTTACAATATGATTTAAAAAAAATCTTGCTAGGTACTTCAAATTGCATTCTGTAACTTTATTTAATATAACATACGCTGTGGCCTCATTATAAAAGCCTTAGAAGGTAAAATGACTCCGTAATTGTCATTTTTAGTGATAGGAAGATATAAACAGGTTTTAAGAATTGCTGTTAAGTCCTGCAGCATTTGGTTGTGTGTCAGGTTTTGTTCTCCTTTTTAAACTACTTTTATGAATCAGGATTGAAGTTTAGTAAGAAAGATAGCATGCTACTGATTTGGTAATTCTTGGTATATTGTGTCTTAATTACAGAGAAAGCTTCCTTTTCTTTTATTCCTGTTTGCTCAATTTCATAGCTCAATTTTTATTTATTTTGTTTTCTAAAGTATTTAGATCAAGGGGGCTACAAGTCAGAAGAATAAAATCTCGTATTTTGTTTTACATATATTCACGCAAGTACCTGACTTTAGCATCCATCCTGCCGATGGTTCAGGTGCTATAAACCAAGTGGTATTGTCATTTGCTTTTCTCTTGCAGACCTACTTTTTCCTCTGTTTATTCCTTCTCTTTTCTGATGCCAAGAAGTATTACAAAACAAGAAAAGACTTTTCCTTAGGAGGTTCTCAGCCATGGGAAATATTTTAGTAGATGACTTATAAAGAGTAAAATAGTTAATGTCTTCTTGCAAAGATCATCATCTATTGGCTAGGCACCATCTTATTGAAATAGGCACAAGATGTATTAAGCATAGCTTCAGATATTATGGTATAGGTTATTCCTGATATGTGGTAATCAGAAATGGAGGAGCCTTTTTTGGATTTTTGGAAGAGGAGACCCAGGATCCTTAAGCTACCTCAGAAGTTTTTTGTTAGGTATGATAACAATGTACAAAAACCAATATTTAAAATATCTGTCAACTAGTATCAGGATATTAATATATAACTCAGTATATAAATAAAATATATATTTACTTTTAGTCTCTAATTAAATGAAATATTTAGTATTATAAATCATAGCACAAATGGTTCACCAAATCATTCTGATAATTTCCAAATCTTATGTTTAGTTTTGGAATTGTTGATATGGTCTTTTGTTTTGCTCAGCTTTTATTAGTTTTAATGAGTTCCTGTTTGAGCTCAGTTTGACAAAATAAATTTCATAGTTGACTTGCTCATTAAATTGATAGTTATTAAGTAACATGGAGTTGCAATAAGTAGAGACTTTCTCTCAGTATCAACAATATTCTTTACGGTGCTGAATCATCTCTTAGCTTCTAAGAGCAATTACTTTCAAAACTTTTTTCTAGCTCTAGTGATGATATGAAATTTAGAATACCTTCTTATTAATTATAAGGCCATAGTAGAAGCGGTATCAGGTGGTGCTTAAGAGCACATGCTCTTTTGTTGGGCTGCCTAGGTTTGAATCCTAGCTCTGCCAACTAAAGATAAGCTGGTAGACGGTATTGAGATGGGTGGATTTTGGGGAGCTGACTAGTGCAGGAACCAACCAATCAGAAAGGATGCCTTTTATGGATGCAACAGGGTCCTGAAGGCCCTTTTAGAGCTAGGAAGTAAGTCTGTTTGTTGGATGATGGAAAGTTCTGAGGAGTGGCCTGAGTAGTAGAGAGAACATTCAGGGGTTTGGGCAGCAGCTAGTTACCAATGACAGTAAAAGTACTTCAGTAATGTAACAACTAACCTATCTGTACTGGTGCATACTGGCTGAACATCGTTTTAGGCAAGGGAAGGAATGAAATTCAGAGACAGGATCTGACTCACCTGCCCCTGTAACACTATGTGTCCCTTACACTCAAAATATCTGCCTGTCTGATGAAGTTTTTATCCTTCTTAGTCTGTTCATCTTGTCCGGTCTTTCTCCTGCCTGAAACATCTCATCCTAGTATTATTTGACGATCAACTTAATTTAAAGGGTTAATCTGGGACTAGTTGATGTCACACAATTAGTGGTTTATTCCGAAGTATGTCTTGTCAGTTACATTTTGGAAAACAAAGGATAAAAATGTCACTGCACATTTGAATTCTCCTAAAGTTGGTTTGTGGTGTTTATATAGCATCATTTGGCTTGCCAAGGAATTTATGTTCCTATTTGATTTACCAGTTGTATTAGTTTCCTAGAGCTGCCGTAACAAAGGACACAAAGCAGGTAGCTTAAACAACAGAAATTTATTGTTTTACAGTTCTGGAAGTTAGAAGTCAAAATCAAGGTGTTGGCAGAGTTAGTTCCTTCTGAGGGCTGTGAAGAATCTGTTCCAGGCCAAGTTTCTAGAGGTTTGCTGGCAGCCTTTTGTGTTCCTTGGCTTGTAGATACATCACTTCAGTCGCTGCTTTCATGTTCACTTGGTGTTCTCTCTCTATCTCTGTATATAGTCTTCCCTCTGTGCATATCTGTGTTCAGATTTCCCCTTTACATAGGACGCCAGTCATATTGGATTAGGGCCCATGTTAATGACTTTATCAGAACCTGACTATATCTGTAAAGACCCTATTTCCGAACAAGGTTACATTCTGAGGCACTGGAGGTTAGGACTTCAACGTATCTTTTTGAGGGGACACAATTCAACCCTTAACACCAGTATTAAATTTTTGTTTTTGTTTCAGTGATAGAAATTTTAGGATATCTGCCATATTCGTTTTTATTGTTGTTGATTTGTTTTAAATATCTAAAATTTGTCTTAAATTCTAAGCAGATTTTTTCTAAATGATATAATCTACACTGGAGACCAGTAATCATCCAGATTATCTGCTTAATAGTCATATTTTATATGGATATATTTACTACTTTGAAAATATTTTTGCTTTTGAAATTTTAGTGTAGTTAAATGATGATGCAATGAATGACAGTTTGAAGTCTGAATGCTACAGTTACTCGTTTTATTTCCTTGTGGGAACCCTTTTGGGATGTTTGTCTAGACTAGCCATGGTACATTCTTTTATTGTACTCCTTCCTTAGGCAGTGATTAATCTCTTATTTTCAGAGAGCTTCCACAAGATAATGAGAACAAGATATAATATGTAGTCTTATAATAAGCTAGATTAAATGTTCTGTTGTCACCAATTCTTCATTAGACTTGTACATTTGCTCTGAAACTTCTTAAAATTATTCAAGTTTCATTGTATTCACAAGTATGATTTCAGATAGTCTTTTAAAAAAATCAAAGGGTGAGTTCTCAATTTGTTAATGAAAATCATTGGAAAATATTAGATGATATATAGATATTCCCTTTAGGCACTGTTAGTATACTAATAGTGTAAACATGTTTGTGCAGGTTTCAACTGGATCATCTCGTCAAAGTTACTCACCTTCTAGCTATCAGGATTTCAGTAAATGGGAATCAGTGCTGAAAATAAAAGAAGGACTACTGAGGCAGAAAGAAATTGTAATTGATCGGTGAGTCTTTTTTTTTATTACTAAATATTTCAGGCATACAGAAATGTAGATTAATAAAACCAAATATTGGATACTTAAAGGAAGTAGTAACTTCTTTTAACTAATATATATTAGATCTGAAGGCACAGAAACTATGAAAATCATGGATGTTTAAAATGAAATGACTTACAGATAAGAATTTTGGAAATTTTTGAGGACGTTCCAAAAATTTTGCGTGTTTGAGTACCAAAGCTTTGAAAAAAATTCTTTTGTACTTACGTCTCCTGATTGTTCTGAGAAATAAACCTTAATATTACTTAGTTATATTATCTATGATGTATATTGGTTCTACACATTATGTATGCTTTTGGGATAATTAAACATGTGTATCATGGTAACTGGGAAATAGTTTGGGGAGGGGTTTTTTCTTAGTCAATGCTGGTTACTGCTTGTTTTCATGTCCTTAAATTGGATAAAGTGGTAGACATTTTAGCCTTAAAGTTAAATTCTAATTCGAACCTTTAAATGCATTTAGTAATTGAAATTTCAAAAGATTTTGCTTAGAAATTTACCAGGATTAAGCAAGATCTACTGGAGTATTAACTGGAGCGTAGATATTTGCACTTTGTTCTTCTCCACTGTGTTCCCAACATCTTGAACAGAGCCTGGCACATCGTATATGCTTAATGCTTGATAATTCCATGCTTGATAAATGAATGAAGATTGTAGAAGATAGTTTTAATTGATTTGGGGAAAAAGCTCTTTAAAAATATTGGATATTTCTAGTACAAGTGGATTTTATATATGAATAATTACAGACCCAGCTGGATATGTATTTTGAACACTTGTAATTTTTTTTATTGAGGTCATAATAGTTTATAACATTGTGAAATTTCAGGTGTACATTATTATTTGTCAGGCACATATATGTGCCTCTTTACCCCTTATGCCCACCCCCCAACCCCCTTCCCCTCTGGTAACCACTAATCTGTTCTCTTTGTCCACGTATTTGTTTATCTTCCACATATGAGTGAAGTCATACAGTGTTTGTCTTTCTCTATCTGGCTTATTTCGCTTAATATAATACCCTTGAGGTCCATCCATGTTGTTGCAAATGGGACGATTTTGTCTTTTTTTATGGCTGAGTAGTATTCCATTGTATATATATATGCCACATCTTCTTTATCCATTCATCAGATGATGGGCACTTGGATTGCTTCCACATCTTGGCTATTGTGAATAATGCTGCAAGGAACATAGGGGTGCATAAGTCTCTTTGAATTGTTGATTTCAAGTTCTTTGGATAAATACCCAGTAGTGGGATAGCTGGGTTGTATGGTATTTCTATTTTTAATTTTTCAAGAAATCTCCATACTGGTTTCCGTGGTGGCTGCACCAGTTGACATTCCCACCAGCAGTGTATGAGTGTTCCCTTTTCTCCACATCCTCTCCAACATTTGTTGTTTTCTGTCTTGGTGATTATAGCCCTTCTAACAGGTATAAGGTAATATCTCATTGTAGTTTTGATTGGCATTTCCCTAATGATTAGTGATGTTGAACATCTTTTCATGTGCCTGTTGGCCATCTTCTTTGGAAAAATGTCTGTTCATGTCCTCTGCCCATTTTTTGATCAGGTTGTTTGTTTTTTTATTGTTGAGTTGTATGAGTTCTTTATGTATTTTTGAGATTAACACCTTGTCAGATATATGATTTGCAAATATTTTCTCCCAGTTAGTGGGTCGTCTTTTCATTTTGTTCCTGCTTTCCTTTGCCTTGCAGAAGCTCTGTAGTCTGATGAAGTCCCATTTGTTTATTCTTTCCTTTGTTTCCCTTGCTGGAGTAGACATGGTATTCGAAAAGATCCTTCTAAGACCCATGTCAAAGAATGTACTGCCTATATTTTCTTCTAGGAGTTTTATGGTTTCAGGTCTTACATTCAAGTCTTGAATCCATTTCGAGTTAATTTTTGTTTTTGGTGAAAGATGATGGTCTACTTTCATTCTTTTGCATGTGGCTGTCCAGTTTTCCCAACACTGTTTATTGAAGAGACTTTCCCTTCTCCATTGTATGTTCTTAGCTCCTTTGTCAAAGATTAGCTGTCCATAGATGTGTGGTTTTATTTGAAAACTTGTAATTTAATTCATTGTACATACTTGAAATTAATACTTTTTAAAAACAGACCAAAATTCAGACTTTAATTAATATGGAGATACTTTCCTTCAAACTATCAGAATCAATTGGCTTTTATTATTTCTTGAACACCATTATAATTACCATACCATTGGGTATAAGTTAATAGGTGTCTTAGTCTGTTTGGGTTGCTATAACAAAATGCCATAGACTGAGTGGCTTATAAACAACAGAAAGTTCAAGATCAAGGCACCGGCAGATTCAGTGTCTGCTGAGAGCCAACTTCCTGGTTCCTGGATGGCCATCTTCTTGCTGAAACTTCACATGGTCTAAGGGGCAAGGGAGCTCTCTGGGGACTCTTTTGTAAGGGCACTAATCCCCTTCATGACCTAATCACCCCCCAGAGACCCCCACCTCCTTATACTGTCACATTCGGCATTAGGATTTAATATATGAATTTTGGGGGGACACAAACATTCAGTCTGTGGCCGTAGGAAATGCAGATAATTATTGACATAATGTATTAAAAATATATATTTCTCAATTTTGTGTATTGTAGAAGGATACTGAGGAAATAATCCAAAATAATTCAAGTTGCTTAGCTGGCCACTTCTTCATCTAGCCTCATTCGTGTGTTTCTGGTAGCTGCATTGTCAGGTAGGCGTTGACTAGCCGAGGATAGCCTCAGCTGGATGGCTTGTCTTTGCTGCATGTGGTCTGTCGTCTCCCAGCAGCCTAGCCTGAGTTTGTTCTTAAGATGGCTGGGTGGATTTTGAAGAGAAAATGAAACATACAGGGTCTCTTGAGGCTTACGCTCAGAACTGGCACAGCATCACTTCCACTACGTCTTTATGGTGACAAGGCCAATAGACTTCACCTCTGGACAGTAGGAACAGCAAAATCACATTGTAAAGGAGCATAAATAATACAGAGGGGAATAATTGTGGGTGGTTTTGTAAACAGTCCACTACACCTAGTGTCTTAAATAATCTTTGATTTTTTTATGAGTTTATTATAAAATTTTGGTAATCAATGCATTTGATATTGTATAAAACAGAAGAAAAAGTAACTTATTTCTCAAGCAACATAATCATCATTTAAAAGTAAAAATTTTCATATATAAAAATCTCTATAAAAGATATAGTGCTAAAAGTTAAGACCAAACATATAGCATATCGTTTTTCCAGGAAGTAGATTAGACTAATGGCCTTTAAAATGGTGATGACACATGCAGAGGCTATTTCAGAGACAGAATTGACAGGATTTGGTATCCACCTGAATGGGTCTGAGAGTAAAGATGCTGAACTTCCTACTTGGGAATAAGGTGTGGTTGATGATACCTGGATATTATTTCTGAAAATACCAAGTTATCCACAATTGCATGAGAAAAATGTGTTTTTTCACAATACATATAACTTGTAGGAGAAGACTCTGGATAATTAGGTCAAAGCAGATAAAATGTTAGGGGGAAAGAACTGCTGTAGAAACTGTTCCCGAGTGCGCCCCATCTCATTAGAAAAAGTGTATGGCTGAGTTTCAAGAACAACTCAGAAAAAAAGCAGGAAACCTGGTTTTAATTTTTATATTTGCCAGCAACAATTAGGTGGTTCTGAATAAGGTGCTTGACCTTTTGCATGTTGATCTGCTCACCTGCCTGGGCACGGGAGTTTCACCACTTAAACAAAAAGAGAGTTTTTTTGAAGATCACCCTTCTAGGCAACGCCCTTCCCTCTTCCACCTGGTTTTATAGCATAAGGATTAAATGAATGAATGTCTGTAAAAAGTCCTAATACTGCCTGATGCGTAGTAGCCATCAGCAAATAGTCGCCACATATATCATATATACACATATTTTGTATGTAATAGTTATATTTGTGTGCTTGTGTCTCCTCAGTAGACTCTGAGCTCCCTCACAGAAGAGACTGTTTCTTGCACATTTCGTTACTCATAATAGGTACTCACCAAATATCCATGCAGAGGAGATAGCCTTATTTTAATAGAAAAGAGGTGAAGGTTGCTGGTTAACCTGTGTTGTTGCTAATACTAATCGTTCTTGTAATGGTTTGTGCTTTGAAATTGCTCAGCTTTTTTGCCGCTGAATTGATCAGATAAAGCGGTAAGTCTCAGTGCACTTGAGACGGATCCAGAGAGGAAACCTTTGTGCCTTCTGCAGTGACGGCTGAGTTAATGCTATTAGTAAATGAACACTTGGAGTGTAGAGAATTCTCATTTTGTCGTTACTTGTAATTTGCAGTATTTATGTTTCTCATTGAATTACATGTGGAAGTAAAATCACATTATGTTTGTGCTAGGTAAGCTTTTAAAATCAGTGGTAAATTCTTTGGTGTAGTGTGGATACTTTTTTATTGAATTCATCATGTCCTTCTAATTCATATGCTTTATAAGCTAGGGTTTATGATCAGGTTTCTTAAAGCAGGCCTATGTGTACGTATCATGGCTATTATAAGTTCAACCCCAGAGATTTGATCAACTAACGTGAGATTTTGTTCATAGCAATTTCTAGCACATCTTTTACTTTGAGATGGACCCCATAATGCAAGAGTCATGATTATTTTCCATTACTAGTGTTGAAGTGAGATTTGATTATTTTTATCAGCTGTTTTGAGCATTTAAATACAGTTTTAATAGTTCGATTTTATCTAAGTTATTTTGGTTATTTATACCTAGGCGTGTAGTATTACAGAACCAATTTCTAAATCTCATATTCTCTTTCAAGCCCAACTACCATAGTGCAATTGAATTTTGAAAGAAAATAATAAAAATAAGAGCAAAAATGTATAAATCTCTAGTTCTACTAATCAGGAAAAAAGAAAGGCTCAAATTAAAATATTAGGAATAAAAAGTGATGTAGATGGAGATTTTAAATCATTGTTATAAAATTATGTCAATAAATCTGAAAACATGGTAGAAAATGAATAATTTTTAAGGAATATCAAAATTAACTCAAAAAGAAATGGAAAACTTGCATAAACCATTAACATTAAAGAAATATAGGGGCCGGCCCCATGACGTAGTGGTTTAGTGCGCGTGCTCCGCTGCTGGCGGCCTGGGTTCGGATCCCAGGTGTGCACCCACATACTGCTTGACAGGCCGTGCTGTGGCAGCGTCCCATATAAAGTGGAGGAAGATCAACACGGATGTTAGCTCAGGGCCAGTCTTCCTCAGCAAAAAGAGGAGGATTGGCAGATATTAGTTCAGGGCTGATCTTCCTCCCAAAAAGAAAAAAAAAAAAAGAAAAAAGAAATATAATCAGATGCTAACTAGACTCATTGCAGTGATTACTTCCCAATATGTACAAATATAGAATTATGTTGTACACCTGAAACTAATATGTTATATATCGATTATATCTCAATTTAAAGCAACAAATATAATCAGCAAGAAATTCCACAGCACACTGATGCTCTGTCATTTTTTTCATTAGTAGTTTTTTCTCTGTTTCTTTTTGGATAGTTTCTATTGCTATGTCTTCAAATGCACTAATCTTTTTTTCTGAAAATTCTAATCTGCCCTTAATCCTATTCAGGATAATATTTATGTCTTCTATGTCTCTATTTAACATATTCTGCCTTTTTTCTAGTTTTTTGAAATATGAAACAGTTATAACTGATTTAGTGTCTTTGTCTATTAATTCTATCATCTGTGTCAATTCTGGCTCACTTTTAGTTGATTGGTTTTTGTCATCATTCCTTAAAAGCTCTCTCTCCCTCATAAGCTTAATATGAGACCTGTTATTAAATTTTTGAAGATTAGCAATAACACATATAAAGTTCTTAGGATGATTCCTGACACATAACAGTTTTCAAATATAATAAGGATACATATTCACAAAAGTTAAATAAGGTGATTAAGCTATGAGCAGCTGAGGAAAGACTTGAACTTCAGTCTGTCTGGTTCCAACATGAGGTTATATTAAAATGAAATGTCAGAGCTATCCAAAGATGCAGATCTGTCACCAAGTGAGCCCTGCATCATCGGTGATGTTTGTGTGTAGACTGTGCAGCCTGGGATGATCTAGAGAAGCTGCAGGCATAGAGCAGCCACTGGGCTAGATGATAGTTATAAAAATACCGTTCACCCCAGACAGTGAGATTCTCAAAATCTTCAGTTGGTAGTAAGTGTTGAACAAAATTTGGATGAGTGAAATTAATGATTTTAAGGTAAAGACATTCCAGACTGAGGATGTAACATTTATTATATTAGGTAACAAGAAGAAAGCAAGCAAAGCATAACTTTGTTAGAATCTAAGAAGAGTATTCAGCAAAAGATTGTATTCTAAAAAATGCCAGAAGTACTCTACAGTATAAAAAATCTCTTTTGTATTTCACATATCTCATGGTCCTATGGTTTAAGAAAATTCTGTATTGTGAATTTTAAGATTGATAATACTTTTAATTTTTATGTCAAATTATTAGAATACTGAAAGTTCTGCTTTTAACTATCTCTTAGAAAAGTATATTTTTTTGTAATGTGACCTTAATTTATGTTTTGCAGGCAGAAGCAACAAATTACCCACCTACATGAGAGGATAAGGGATAATGAATTACGGGCACAACATGCCATGTTAGGACATTATGTGAATTGTGAGGATTCCTATGTGGCTAGTTTGCAGGTAAGATTACAGAGGATTTTGTAGTTGTTGTTTTATTAGTAAAGCATGTATTAATTTTATACTTAGCTTGTAAGATTAGGACTTTTTCTGAATTAATCGTTCATTCACATGGTTCATATTTATATGTGTAAAAGATATCAAATACTGTCTTTCATCTGTCCAGTTCTCACCTCCTCCCCACACACATACAAGAACTGCTGTTATCAGTTTCTAGTATATCGTTCCAGAGTTGATGTATATCCCTAGTGCATATAAATGTATTTTATCCCCCCACCTTCACAAAAAGTATCAAAATATATACGTTATCTGGCACCTTGCCTTTTTCCTTTATATTATATAAAATTATATAAAATACAGTGATTATTCTCATATCATTACATAGACAGCATCCCTTTCCTTTGTTTTTACAGCTGCTTGAGTTTCCATTTTATGGACATAGCATCATTTATTCAACCTGTCCATACTCATTAAAATTTGGGTTGTTTCTAGTTTGGGGCTATTATAAGTTATATTGTGAAGAATAACCTTTTATAAACATTGTTTTGCTCATTTGTAAGTTACGTCCTCAGAAGTGAAATTCCTAGGTGTTTTATGAGTTGATAATTTTTATTGATAGTGTTGGATTGCTATCTAGGAGAGCTTGTTGCGATCTTTAGCTCCTGTCAGCAGTGTATGTGACTCCCCCCTCTCCCACCTCCCAACTCGTAGCCATGTTAACAGAGTGTGTTATCAAACTTTGAGATTTTTGCCCTTCTCATAGATTTGTGTAAAGGGTGAGGTGGGGTAGTTATCTCCCTATTTTTTCCCCCCCAATTTTTTTTGTTATTAAAATACATATAACAAAATTTATGATCTTAACTATTTTTAAGTGTATAGGTCAGTGGTGTTAAATACATTCATAATGTTGTGCAACTGTCATCACCATCCATCTTTATAACTCTTTTCATCTTATAAAACTGAAACTCTAACCCATTGAAGAATAACTCCACTCCCCATTCCCCTTCCCTGGCAACCACCATTCTGCTTTCTATCTCTGTGATTTTGATTGCTTTAAGTATCTCCTGTTAAGTGGAATCATACAGGATTTGTCTTTTTGTGACTGGCTTATTTCACTTAGCGTAATGTCCTCAAGGTTCATCCATGTTGTAGCATGTGTCAGAATTTTCTTCCTTTTTAAGGCTGAATAATATTCCATTGTATGTATGCCACAGTTTACTTATCCAGTCATCTGTTGTTGGACACTTGGGTTGCTTCCATATTTTAGCTATAGTGAATAATGTTGCTGTGAACATTTTTTATATTATTTATTTCAACACAAGTGTACAAATATCTCTTCAAGAGCCTGCTTTCAATTTTTTTTTTTTTTTTTTTTTTAAAGATTTTTTTTTTTTTTTTTTTCCCCCCAAAGCCCCAGTAGATAGTTGTCTGTCATAGCTGCACATCCTTCTAGTTGCTGTATGTGGGACGCGGCCTCAGCATGGCCGGAGAAGCAGCGTGTCGGTGCGAGCCCGGGATCCGAACCCGGGTCGCCAGCAGCGGAGTGCACTCACTTAACCACCAAGCCACGGGGCCGGCCCCCCTGCTTTCAATTCTTTTGAGTATATGCCCAGAAGTAGAATTGTGGATTATACAGTAATTCTATTTTTAGTTTTTTGAGGAACTGCCATACTGTTTTCCACAGTGGCTATACCATTTTGCATTCCCACCAACAGTGTACAAGGGTTCCATTTTTTCCACATTGTTGCTAACACTTGTTATTTTCTGTGTTTTGATAGTAGCCATCCTAATGGGTGTAAGGTGGTATCTCATAGTTTTGATTTGCGTTTCCCTAATGATTAGTAATGTTGAGCATCTTTTCTTATGCTTATTGGCCATTTGTATATCTTCTTTGGAGAAATGTCTATACAAGTCCTTTGTCCATTTTTGAATCAGGTTGTTTTTTTGTTGTTGAGTTGTAGAAGTTATGTATATATTCTGGATATTAATCCTCTATGAGATATATTATTTGCATATAGTTTTTCCCATTCTGTGGGAATGCCCAGTTGATGGTATCTTTTCATGCACAAAACTTTTTCATTTTTGTAAGTTATTCCAATTTGTCTGTTTTTTCTTTTGTTGCCTCTGCCTTTGGTGTCATATCCAAGATATCATTGCCAAATCCAGTGTCATGAAGGTTTACATTTTCTTCTAAGAGTTTTATACTTTTAGCTCTTATGTTTAAGTCTTTGATCCATTTTAAGTTAATTTTTGTATGTGGTGTTAGTTAGGTAAGGGTCCAGCTTCATTCTTCTACACGTGGATAATCCAGTTTTCCCAGCACTATTTGTTGAAAAGACTGTTTTTTCTTCATTGAATGGCCTTGGTACCTTGTCAAAAATCATTTGACCACCATATATGCAAGGGTTTATTTTTCTGTTCTATTCCATTGGTCTATATATCTCTCTCTTTATGCCAATATCACGTTGTTTTGATTACTGTAGCTTTGGAGTAAGTGTTGAAAGCAGGAAGTGTGAGTCCTCCAGCTTTGTTGTTCTTCTTCAAGATTGTGTTGGCTATTCGTGGTCCCTTGAGATTCCGTGTGAATTTTAGGATGAGTTTTTCTAATTCTGCAAAAAACGTCATTGGGATTTTGATAGGGATTGCATTGAATCTGTAGATCGCTTTGGGTAGTATTGACATCTTAACAATGTTAGGTTTTCCAATCCATAACAAGTTTTCATTTACTTGTCATCTTTAATTTCTTTCAGCAATGATTTGTAGTTTTCATTGTGGCAAGTCTTTCACCTCCATGGTTTAGTTAATTCCTAAGTATTTTTTTCTTTTTGATACTGTTATAAATGGAATTGTTTTCATAATTTCCTTTTTTAGATTGTTCATTGTATATAGAAATACAACTAGTTTTTGTGCATTGACTTTGTATCCTGATACTTTGCTGAATTCGTTCATTATATCTAACAGTTGTTTTGTGGAATCTTTAGGGTTTTCTACGTGTAGGATCATATCGTCTGTGAACAGAGATAATTTTACTTCTTCCTTTCCAATCTCGATGCGTTTTCTTTCTTTTTCTTGCCTAATTGCTCTGGCTAGAACTTCCAGGACTCTGTTGAATAGAAGTGGTGAAAGTAGGAATCCTTGTCATATTCCTGATCTTAGAGGAAAAGGTTTCAGTCTTTCACCATTGAGTATGATGTCTGCTGTGGGTTTTTTCTATATCGCTTTTATTATATTGGGTAGTTTCCTTCTATTTGTTGTTTTTTAAGTGTTTTTATCATGAAAGGGTGTTAAATTTTGTCATGCTTTTTTGGCATCAATTGAGATGATTGGTTTTTTTTTCTCCCTTCATTCCTTAGTGTGGTATATTACATTGATTTTTGTATGTTAAACCATCCTTGCATTCCAGGAATAAATCCCACTTGGTCATGGAGTATATAATCTTTTTAATATACTGCTGAATTCAGTTTGCTAATATTTTGTTTAGGATTTTTACATCAACGTTCATAGGAGATATTGGTCTGTAGTTTTCTTATAGTGTCTTTGTCTGGCTTTAGTATCAGAATAATGCTGGCCTCATACAATGAGTTAGGAAGTGTTCCCTCCTCTTCCAGTATTTGGAAAAGTTTGAGAAGGATTGATATTCGTTCTTCTTTAAATGTTCAGTAGAATTCACCAGTGAAGCCATCAGGTCCAGGGCTAGGGCTTTTCTTTCTTGGGAGATTTTTGGTTACTGATTAAATCTCCTTACTAGTTATAGGTCTACTCAGATTTTCTATTTTTTTGTGATTTAGTCTTCGTGGGTTTTGTGTTTCTAGGAATTTGTCCATTTCATCTAGTTTATCCAGTTTGTCGGTGTACAGTTAATTGTTCATAGTACTCTTTTATAATCTTTTTTATTTCTGTAGAATTGATGTCGTCCCCATTTTCATTTCCGATTTTAGTAATTTGAATCTTTTTTGTTTTCTTAGTCCATCTGGCTAAAGGTTTGTCAATTTCGTTGATTTTTTTTCAAAGAACCAATATTTGGTTCATTCATTTTTCTCTATTGTTTTTCTGTTCTCTATTTCATTTATCTCTGCTCTAATCTTTATTATATCTTTCCTTCCAGTTAGTTTTGGATTTAGTTTGTTCTTCTTTTTCTAGTTTTTTAAGTTGTAAAGTTAGCTTGTTGATTTGAGATCTTTCTTGTTTTCGCCATATGGTTTTTTTTTTTTTTTTGTGAGGAAGATCAGCCCTGAGCTAACATCCATGCTAATCCTCCTTTTTTCGCTGAGGAAGACCGGCTCTGAGCTAACATCTATTGCCAATCCTCCTCCTTTTTTTTTTTTTTTTTTCCTCCCCCCAAAGCCCCAGTAGATAGTTGTATGTCATAGTTGCACATCCTTCTAGTTGCTGTATGTGGGACGCGGCCTCAGCATGGCCGGAGAAGCGGTGCGTCGGTGCGCGCCCGGGATGCAAACCCGGGCCGCCGGCAGCGGAGCTTGCACACTTAACCGCTAAGCCACGGGGCCGGCCCTGCCATATGGTTTTAATATGTATTTCTCCTAAGAGTGATGTTGAACATCTTTTCATGTATTTGAGACCCATTCATATTTCTTTTTCTGTGAATTGTCTTTTCATATCCTTTGATTATTTTTCTCTGTTAGGTATTGGCTTTTTGCTTATTGATTTTACAAAAACCCTTTATGTATAGAGGAAATTAGCTTTTGTCTGTAATTTGATTTGAAATACATTTTCTGAATTTGTCATAATATTTTCTTTCCATTTATATCATTCTCTTTCTTTTTCCTTTATCTATTTTTTCTACCACAAACACTCACTAATTTTAATGAGTATTTTATAAATAAGTCCCATCTTTGCAAATGAACACATTTAACAAAACAATTATTAAACATCCACTGTGCTAAATTGTGAGGTCACAGAAGTGAAGAACAGTTCCTGCCTTCATGGATCTCAAACTATAGAGGGAAAGACCATATAGGTAAACATGTTTACCCATTCCTTCA